TGGTCAATATTACAAAATTTGGCGAGTTGAGTGACAAATGTGGAGTTTCATCGTTCGGCTTGTCCATTGGTTTGTGGATGATGTGGTGTTGAAAAAACATGTGCACAACCCACTAATTTTGATATAGCTTGTAATAATTCATTCTTGAAGTGTGTACCTTGATCAGTGATTAATATATCTGGTGGACCATGAACTAAAATAATTTTTTCCATTAATATTCGAGCAGTATCTTGAGCTGTATTAGTAGGTGATGCTGTAGCAAAAACATAACCGGAAAGACGATCAGTTACAACAAGAACATATCGATTTCCAGAAAGTGAAGGAACAGTAGGTCCCCACCAATCCATTCCCAGTATTTGAAAAACATCATTTGGTGGTTGGATAGGTTGTAAAAATCCAGGCGGTTTACGTCGATCCACATTAAATTGTGAACATTTATCACAGGATTTAATATACGACATGATGGTTCTTTCATACGAGGCCAATAATATGTGTTGCGTAATTGTGACCAAGTGCGGGCAATACCGAAATGACCACTTAATGGGTGATCATGATAAGCAGTTAACAGGTTCGGAATTAAAGTCGCAGGCGTATAGATAAGTTTAAGTACTGTATTATCTCGACGAACTAATTTATAGAGAATATCATCTTGAATAAAAAACGTTGAATAGCGACGTTCATTTCGAATTTGTTGTATTATATTTTGAATATTTATATCAGTGTTTTGTTCGGTACGTATACGTGATAAATTAAAATCATATGATTGAGTACTTGGTGATGGAGAAGAACAAGTAGATTCAGATGCGAGTGGTGTTGATGAACGTGGTTGAGCAAGAAGTTTGGCTTGTGCTCTGATTGTCACAGCATTAAGTTCAGCAGTATCGCACGTATGAGAATGAGATGTATCAGTTGGACCAGGTGGTGTGATATTAACAGATGTTGATGAAGGGAGATGTCGTGAAATATAATCTGCAGCTGTATTGTTTGCACCTTTACAATATTTGACTGCAATAATTTGTGGTAATATATCTTGTAATTTAAAAATCCAATTCATAACACATTTATTATTGATTTGTTTAAGGTGAAAATTTTCAAGTGGTCGATGATCTGTTTCGACAATAAAATTAGAGTCACCTATATAAGATCGAAGTTCGGTAATGCACCAATAAATGGCTAATGCTTCTTTTTCAAATGTATCATATTTACGTTCAGTATCATTTAAGACACGAGATTTAAAATAATTGATCTTTGTTCCAGCTGGTGTATATTGTCTTAAAATCCCAACAATGCCAATATCTGATGCATCAGTTGTTAATGTGAATGGAGTTGACAAATCTGGATATTCTAAAAATAAAGGAGATGTTGTTAGTATATGTTTAAATTCCTCAAAGGATTGTTGTTGTTCAGGTCCCCATCTAAATTCATGTCGACGATGTTTTGTTTTGTTGGTTACTTTATGTAGTGGTGCAGCTATACGAGCGAAATTAGGAATGAATTTGCGATACCAGTT